TTAGATGAAATTCTCCCAATGTTAAAACTTGAAAAAAGTGAGAACCTCTCGTGAAACTAACTTATTTACAAATAAGTTTTTATAAAATTTAAAAAACCATAATCAAATCGTTTGAGACTTAAGTGTAATTTAAATTAGAGTGTAAAGATAATATTATTCTTACTTATTAGTTTACAAAGATGCCCCTCCCTCAATTAAACATCAATATGTGAAGTTATAATTATAAAATATTAAAATGATAGTTATAAATTACTAATGAGGTAATTATAAATAATTAATATTAAACCTCGTTAGAAACCCATGATTAGTTTAATTATTAGACCTATAAAGTTATAGTTAAAATATTGAAGTGATAATTATAAATGACTATTAAGATAGTCATATACAATTATTAATATATTGTAATACGTGATTAATATAATTATTAGATACGTAAAATTATAGTTTATAAAAAGTTAAAGTTATAGTTTAAAATATCGAAGCGATAATTATAAATGATTAATATACAGTTGTATACAATTAATATTAAACTTGTAATGCATAATTAGTATAACTATTGAATATGTAAAATTACATTGAAAAATTTGAAGTTATAGCTATAAAATTATTATCTTTACATTTTAATTTTAAATTATATTTAGATTTTAAAAAACTTGATTGTGGTTTTAATTTTATAAGATTTATTTGTAAAAAATCCACTTTTACAGCGCCTATACATAAATTTTTTCAAAAAAAAATCATGTTCTTAGATGGAATCAAATTTCTTGAGTTAGCTTTTTCAATATTAAACTTATATATTTTCAGCATTGATCTTTCACATTTTCAATGCTTATTAATTTTAATGTTCAGATTTTCAATTTTCATCTTTGATTTTTCAATACTTATCTTCAATTCTTTTTAACATTGAAAGTATGAATATTGGAAATATCTAAAAGGACTATTAAAAAATTAAGTGCTAAAAATATGATAGATGAATATTGGAAAAAAAACTTAATTTTTTTCGTTCCAACAAAAATTGGGTTCTTTTTTCAAAATTTTAAAAAATCATGCAGCCACACACAGCCCCAAGCCCCCAACTCATCATGTCATTCTGAGCAATACTGTGCTTCTCTTCACATCTTCGCATGTACGTAGAGACTTACTCTCAATTTTCTAGCTGGAAGCGGGTTTGTGGTTTTGACCTTTCCTTGTTTTGCTTCACAGCATGACCGACATTCTAGAATCATAGCAACGGACCTACCCTTCAATTCAATGAAATTCACTTCTATAGGTTTCAATGCCTCTCCAAGTGCGCAATTAGAAACGACGCTTAGCTTTCGCTTTTCCGGTGGTGCACTGGATATGGACTCCTTCAAAGTCTATCATTGATTGGTTTAACATTAATAACTATTCTGTCACACCAGAAATATTCATCGTTTTTCTTCATCATATGTGGTTGTGTCCTTCTTTTCTTCTTCGTCTCCTTAGTAGCTACGTGTATCGTATGACAATTAATGCAAGCATTATAATGTATCCACATGCCGCATTTAATGCAAAATGAGTTGCGCTCAGAAGATGACGCTTGGGAGGCACATGATTCTGTCTGTTTGCCTTGGGGCTCTCGGGCGCTAGTTTCATTTTTCTTTCGGCCAAGAACCACAGATTGTTCAATTTTAAAACAGATGGTGATATACAGATAATGTATTTTATCACACACATATTTTTAAATGAAAATCACATATCTGATCTCCCAAGTTTGCTGGCGTTGTGAGGGAGTAGTACGTACCAGCTACGACTAACAATCATGAGTTTACACAAAAAGAATCGTACTCTTATGTCACAACACAATAACTCTCGAGTTGTTTCCAGAACCTTTGCGTTAAAAAGCTTGCCATCACATGAAATGATAGCAAGCTTCTCGATGATGCTATTCACCAAGCGAAGTCGCAATAATTACACAAGTTACGTTGGCGTTCGTTTTACACCTAAAAAAAAATACTTCTTTTGCGTAAATCTGTGGCACAGGTGTGGTATCTATTATCTATCGTCACAGATATACAGGCGCAGAAGAGCAGTATTTATTAACGGAATGGTCCCGGCCATGTTCAGAACAAAATGCAAGAAAATTAGAGTTACTAGCTATTACTTTTAATTTATACTTTTGGGTTTGCCATAACGGGACTCATGGGGATCTCAGGTTTCTTCCCATTCATTTACAGTTATCCCTTTACAGTATGGAAACCAGTTGCATTGCCAATTTGCCATGGACAAGACTCTGTAACTATTAGACCTGAAAAAAACAAGTGAACCAGAAGATGTTAGCATCCCATGTGCATTTATGGCCAATCAGTTCTTACAGACTGCTGTGAGAATGAGGGGATGAGGAAGAGAGGAATAAAAAAGGGGTCCAGATGTGGGCATCCACTAGTATCTTGTGATGCAATACTTTCTTGCTGGACGGCTCAATGCATTTTTTATTAAAATTTTTTTTCCAAAACATTATAAAGTATATATTATTCTAATACAAATGGTGAAAATACAACTCGCTTAATTTAGATCAACACCAGTCTAATAATCAGACTTAAAAAAACTTATACCAGCTTATATGGGCTATCCTAGATTGAAACTTGAAATAGTTTTGAAACATGGTTTTTAATTCTTCTTGAAATTGTTCCTGCCCTATTTATAGCACTACTGAACGATACGTTAATTTTAATCCTATTTATAAAAAATTTGATTTATTTTTTTATCCTTATTAAATTATAAATTTTTAATTTTAAAATAAAGTTAATAAATTTTTAAATTTTTTTAATTTTAATAAAATATGTTAAAAATAATTTATAAATAGAATGAGTGGAAGTAATAATTGAAGTCCTTGTCAACAAGAAATCACGTTTGTCATTGTTGTCACGGGTCATTTTCAAAAAATTAAATCAATCAGACAGATGCGGGACAAACTTATACGTTCATAATAAATTGTTGTTTTCAATCGTCAATTCTAAACTGCTCAAAAAATTTGTGAGATCAGCTAGTGTAATCAGAAACTAGCCCGCACTTATATACCTTTGACGATGAGTATTTAGATAGACACTTACTATGACGGTTCTCCCGGCCGGCAGGCCGGCCCCCGTTTACGCCGAAGCAATCTAATGGTCAAGGTTTTGGTGGTACTATTACTATTAAAAAAATACAAATTCACGAAAAAATTTAATAAAAGATCATCTATTTTTTTTAAATATCAAATTAGTGAGAAAATTAGTGAGGAGTGTTGATTTTATAGTTCAACTTAAAATTAACGAGAAAAATAATGAGAAACTGTCAATCTCTTTTAAAATAAGATAATTAGCAAGAAAAATAGCGAGAAATTATCAATTTCCCTCTAAAATAAGATAATTAGTAAAAGATTCTAACATTAGCTAATTACTACAAAAAAATTTAACTTTTAGCAATAACTTTTAATATATTTAATTATTTTCATTTAAAAATAAAAATTAAATAAAATATTTATAATAAAATTATTTAATATTTTTTATTTTAAGTTGATTTTTATTAATAAAATAATATTTTATTAAAAATAAAATATAAAGAATAATTTAAATAAAATATAAATATTTTTAATATATTAATAATTGAAAATAAAATTTAATATGTGTCCGTGTATTTTTATAATACATTATTTGATATATTTATGTAGCTAAATAATATATATTTAATTTCTTATATAATGACTGTAGGTGCTTTTCAATTTAACTGATAAAGAAGGAGAGTATAAGACTTAAAAGATAGAAGGTCAAGGGTTTAAATTTTTATTTTGGCTTAAACATAATGAATATGTAATATGATAAAGAGCAAGTGACATGGTGATGGACAATGACATACCATGAGTTATCGCATATGTGGTGAGTAATGGGGCATGAGATGGTGGGTGATATATCAGTTGATGAAGTATGAGGTTATTGGCGACATATCACAAGTTGAATCACATGTGATAGGTGATATGATATAATTATTTTTAAATATAAGTATATTTAGCAACGGATTAGCTAGAGACTAATTAGTGGCTGAGCTAAAATTTGAAATCAGAGGGTACAATATTTTTTTAGAATAAATAATTATATACAAATTGTACACGCACACGACTAAAGATTTGATACATATTATATTAATCACAATTTATTATGATTGAAGATTTGATACATTACAGCAAGAAAATAAAAGATTTCATATGTAAATCTTAGATGAATATTATTACTTTCACAATAACAATATTCCCTTATATTTTAAATAAACATACTATATAAAAGTAAAACAAGTTAGTATTGAGACCTAAAATAACAATGTGCAAATGCTGGTGGATGAAAAGAAAGAACAAGTCAATATTATTAGTTTAAATAATGGTTATTTATTATTCAATATTGAGATGTTCAAAAGAGGGTGCAAATTAAAGAAAAAATGGGGGCATGAGATGAAGATTAATAACAACTAATTCCTTATTAAAATTATCAAATTTTAAATAGTATTAATGAAGAATTAGTGAGGGATGTGGCTTTTGTTAAAAATTAGTAGGGCTAAATTTTTTACTAATTAGAGAAAAAAATATGATCCCTCGTTAAATTTAACAAATCCTTTTTATATTATGAATTTAATGAGAAAAATGACATTTAATGAGAGATTTGTCTCATATAAAATTTTATTTTTCTGATATAGTTTTGCATAAACAGTAGCTTGGCCAAAAGAAAAACATTTAAGTAGAGTTTACCATCTCTGAAACTTCTACGTATGCGCGACTGCTTGATTTGCCTGCGTGAGTTATTTTTACAGGGAATGAATATTGTCCGTGGAAACTTCTTTTTTTTTTTTTTTGGACCAAAGTATTGTCCATTGAAACTTACAGCATAGAAGAACACGAATTAAAATAAAGGAACTCAATTAACTTGCTTAGTCTCGTAACTTAAAACCGGACGGGACTCGGGAGAGATGCAAATTTAACAGAGACGCGTAACGTATATGCAATAGATCAATAGAATAATATAATAATGTTAGTAGTGATATCATATACAGTTGTAGGCATTTAGCAGACTGAAGGATTGAAATCTCTGTCCCGGGTTTGATTTATGCAAAAGTAAGACTAGATGATGAGCTAATTGAGTCCTATAAGCGAGCTCAACAAAAAGTCCGGAGTCCTAATGAAGCGACACGGAACTGACGAGCAGTCCAGAAACGATTGGCATCTGCAACAACTGAAGATGTATAATGTTATTGCATGCCACCACTAACATATTCCTGGCAAAGCAACCTCGTCTAGAAGCCATTTCTCAAGAAAAGAAAATTGCAATTCTGCACCACACTCCGGCTTGCTTTCATCTTGGAAAAGAGTGGTTGGTTCAGGGTCAGGAGACAGAGATTGCGAGAACTCAGAATTCGAAGAATCCAAAGACTCCAACCCGAACAATGACTCAAACGCCTCGCATGATTCAAAGCTGCTTCCCTTGTTGGATTCGTCACTTGGGGCTTCTTTGCTACAAGTAGCCAAGTTTCCGGCGGAGTAATTCTGAGTCATGGTCGAGTTACCGCGAGAGTGAGTTTTCTTTGGTGGATTTTTCTTCCATTCCTTCAGCAAACGAGCTATGTTTTCAGCGGTCGACGCATAGCATAAGGATGGGGTTGGTTTTGCAGAAGCGAGAGAGGAGGAGCCAATATCAGAGGGGTAGGATTGAAATGCGCCACAAGGCTTATGCGGTGACAGTGCCTCGCGAAGAGCTCTCTTAGCCGTTTGGATGTCAGTTTGGAGCCTTCTTTCCCACTGTCCTCTAGGCATTGCTTGCGAAGCCGAAAACCCATCGCTTGTGCCGTCTCCTTCGAGAGCCATCTGCATTTTCCTAAGCTTCTTCTTCAAGTGGGTGTTCCAATAGTTTTTTATGTCGTTATCTGTTCTCTGCGGAAGGTACGAAGCTATCGCAGCCCATCTGCACCACAGTCAATAGTATGCCTCCAGTTCAGCATGTGTCTCTCTTAACATAAAACACTAGATAGTAATATCTCTGACTCCAAAGTTTAGATGGATTACCTATTGCCCAGAAGAGCTTGAAGATGGATGATCATCTTCTCTTCTTGGTCGGTGAAATTGCCGCGCTTAATTCCTGGCCTCAGATAATTAGTCCATCTAAGTCTGCAACTCTTGCTGCACCGCGACAACCCTGAAAAGCAAAGAAAGGAGGAAAATAATTTAGAGGAAGGTCTCCAAAGTGAAATTTAATCAAACGAGGGAAGGTGAAAAAACATCTCATTGAGATAAAACAAAAAGAGCGTAGCAATAAACCTACCTGTATTGGCGGGAACAGCCTTCCAATTTCCAGGGCCATGCTGCTGAATGTAGGAGACCAACAAGATGTCTTCTTCAGGCGTCCAAGGTCCTTTCTTGACGCCTTCCTTATCACAACAAGGCGGCCTTCCCATATCTGCTTGCGAGTCTTAATGTTTCTTCAATTCCCTTTGATGTGGTTTCCCTCCTGCTCGATGAGTGCTTTATGCCGAGCCAAGCGTGCAACGCAAAGTGAAAGAAATGGTTGGCGACTTGGCGTGAATATATAGACAAGCCAGAGGGGTGTTTGGGAAGACGCTGACTTGAACGAGAGTGAAGAGGGGAGGCCAAAGAGTCAAAAGTCACCGGAAGAGCATTAAATGCAACGAGGCGTGGACAAAGTCAGCTCGTTGCTCTCAAAACCGCGTGGGCATTCAATGACACTGCGCTGGGAAAAAGCTCTATTATCTGCTTTGAATGCCTATAAAAAGTCTAATCCCCAGCGGCCATTAATGGGATTAAGTGAGATAAAGCTGTAGTCCAGCAAATCCGCAGTTGCCTCAGTACTTCACTTTATTGTTTGCCTGTCATTTCTTTTTAAAACCGTCTAATTTGATCGGCGGAGTGGGAGTAATGCTGCTTCTGGAAAGCGACGGCAATGGGAGACGTATTAGTTCACTTTGTTTACTGATGTAAGTTATCGATGAGTAGGTTGATTAGAGAGAAACAGTATTGTTGAGGAAGAAGAGGGTGGTAACGGAGAGATTGGAGAGCTGAAGCAGAGTGGAGACAAAGAATAAATGCGAGGCAGGCGAGATGAATGTATCTTCATGTTCAATTATGGGGGAGGCAGGCGGTGATTGGAAGCAATGGGACCCAACTTGAGTTTCAGTTTGAAAAGGAATGCATCCTGACATCTGCAGCCGATTACTTATTATAAGTAAAATGAGCCACCTCGCTCCCTGCCCATTGCCCGTTGGCTTCTGCCTTTGACATTTTTATCTCTCTCTGACCTAACCTGTCTCCCAAAAATCTTTCAAGATCCTCGTTCCATTGATGATGAATTTTTTTTTTTTAATGTTGTAGTATGAATGGAAAATTTCGATCTAAACAGCTTGATCAAGATTATTAAACTTGTAAATTTAATCAAACTCATAGCAGAGATATAAACTTAAAACATCAACTCAGATAATAAATTTATAAAAATTTATCTTTATTAATAAATAGTTTTTGAAAGCATTAATTAAATAATTAAAATATAAAATATAATTGTAATTTAATTTAAATATATTTTAAATGTAAATTATTAAAATTAAATCTATCTACATTTATATATTATTATACTTAATATAGAAATTTCAAAATATGATAACTTATTTTTCATATTTTTTGTTTTCTTTTTTTATTAATATTAATTTTTGGTTTTTTTTCATTTTATTTTTCATTAAACCAAATCCCACTGCTTCTATGAATCCACTTTTACATAGTATATATCTATCTTGCTCAACAAATTTATGAGTAAATTAATACAATTTTATAAGCTAAAAACATAAAAATAATAAATTTGAAGAGTGGACTCGTGAGTTTAACTGAGTTTATTTTAATTTAAATTTATGAGTGAATTGACATGATTTTATAAATTAGAAACATAAAAATGATAAACTCGTAGAGCCAATTCAAGAGTTTGACAATAATGCTTTTGATCAAATATAATAAAAAATAAACAGGGATAATGAAATGAGATTAAAATGTTAAGTAAAATAACAAAATTAATCTTTTCTTAGATAATAAAAAAAAAAGACCTCTCTTTCTTATTCTCTCCCATGGAAGAGTCTTTAACGCAACCAACGCCCCACAGGATCTCATATTCCTCCCCTCAATCCCTCGTACATGGACAGTGATTCCAATTCTCCGAATTCTAATGGATTTGCGTAGTTTAGTTTCAATTAATATGATTTGGGCTAGCTCCCTCTCAAATGTTCACTTTCACGCTCAAGTGGCTAATTAAAATGAGTAACTTTACTATCGTGAATTTATAACTTTTTTTATCATGACAATAACATCAAAAATAAAATTAAATAAATTTATATATACAAACAACTCATGTAAGAAAATTAATCATTTTAATGTGAGAAATGAATGATTTCGATCTAAAAAATTTATAACTTTTTTTACCATAATAAAAAATTTAAATAAAATTAAGTGAAGCTATGAGCACAAATAAATCCTATAGAAAAATTAATCATTTCAATATAGGAATTGAACAATTTCAATATGAGGAACTTACAACTCTTTTTGTCATGATAATATCATTAAAAATAAAATTAAATGAAACTATATGCATAAACAATTATTATAGGAAAACCAACTACTTTAATATGAGAAATGAACAATTTCAATATGAAGAAATTGTAACTCTTTTATTATGACAACATCAATTAAAAAAAATCAAATAAAGTTATGCATATCAGTAATTACTCTTATAAGAAAATTTATCACTTTAGTATGGAAAATGAATGGCTCTTAAATGAAAATTGCAAGTTTTTTCTAATATATATGCTCAAGCCACTCCCTTAAAAATAAGGCATGCTAGTTAAATGAACAATCGCAATATGTGAAATTAGCAATTGGGGTAGGAAAAATGAATAGCTTTAGTTTGAAAAATAAACAACTCGTGCGCAGCTTTGGAAATTAATAACTTATATTGATGAACTATCATTTACATTATCATCAAATAATTTTATCCTGATACTTTATCCAATTTATTGACAAGTACCCACATTAGAACTTTTTCTATAGAAACGGATCACTTTACACAAGGTATCTCATACTAAGAAATGCTATTACAAAGATCTACCCATATCAGTAAATCCTATTTACGAAAAAACAACCCATACCAATGAACATTTCACAAGAAGCAACCCCTGCAAAAAAACTAAATGGGTTGCAGGCTTTGAATGCTTGCACTTGGTGGCATACTTTTTAAGGGAGAAGGTGTGTTTTGTTGCCACCAATTAGGTATGAAAAAATAATAATAATAAATGATGAGGACAAAGAAGATTAAAACCCTATATTATTCATGACTAAAATAAAATAAACCAACCAATCAGGTATTATATCTAGAATAGGAAAAAGTATCAATACAATTTGAATAAAATAAATTAATTCAGAACTTTACTCAATGCATGCATCCTCCCTTTTTCTTCGGGGGAAAAAAAAAAGCTAAATTCGATATGAATTTTTCTACTTTATTTGATAATCAGGGGCCATACCTTTTCAATACCAGCGTGAGAAGATGCTCCGGCTCGTATTTATAAATAAGATATTTAAAATTTTTTATATATTTTAAGAAAAGTTATTTTATTACCTTATTTAATCTTCTATTATGATTTCATTCAGGGAAAATTACACCTAAGTCTCATAAGAAATTTAATAATCAAGAAGTCCTATAAAATATACAAAATAGTCCCAAATTTTAAATTTTGCGTATTTAATATTTGACAATGGACATTTGCAACTGGGTAATGGGTAATTTGTAAATGTATATTGTCAAGTTATAAATGCATATGATTTGAAATTTATGACTATTTTATACATTTTATGGGATCTCTTGCTAATTAAATTTCTTTTGTGGGAATTAAGTATAATTTTCCCTTTTTTTAATTAAAGGAAGAAAATTTTTTTATTTGTGCTAATGTATTTTCAAGGTAGGGAGTAAAATGAAAAAACTATTTCATATTTTTAATTTGATACCTTATAATTAAGACAATGAATGCAGTCGGGTCTGGCAGGGCATTGCCTAACCTAAATGCCAGGGCCGGTGCTTAGTTTAGATTAGCTTAGTGCTCAAATTTTCGGGTGAGAATTTGGCTCAACTCTAAAGATTTTTTTTTAAATGCAAAAACTAAGTTTATCCTCAAAAAAATATCATTTCTAAGAGTTAAAATAATTTCTCATGTAACTAATATCAAGATTAAAATTAATTATTTTTAAAATTATATAAGCTTTATAATTACCACTTCTTTACATAATATCAAGTAAAAAATAAATTTAAATTTTGAAAGAGGCTAAAAAATTTAAACAATAAATGATGTCCATAAAAATCATAAAAATAATATAATACACCATAAATTTTAAAAAATATTGAAAAATTATTTACAAGAAAAAGAATAAAAAAATATACTCCTTGTTGTCTAAAATATAAGCATTTTTCTCAACTAATCTTGATTCAAAATGTAAACAACCTAATGCATGTAAAAATATTTTTCCTCATCAATTAAAATTAGTGTGAATAGTAGGATTTACAAAAAAAAAATTGGTATAAATAATAATGGCTCTCGTCATTTAAACACATAGGCAAAAGTTCAAATTTCTATCTTTATATATATATAGTAATTTAGTTGGAGACGTTTACTCTCTCCCTTCCATACCTTGTGAGAGATAATCTCAATTGTCGACCAAGTCTATCCCTTATGCTATCAACAAGTAAAAAATAATCTCATTTTACCTTTTGTATTTATTAATATAAATTTTTTTATATAAATTTATCTATCACTCAACATGAAGTGTATTAATAATTAAGATTAAAAATAAAAATAAAAAAGGCATTATATATTTTTCTATGAGAATAATAACTTTATTGGTTTTTAATTTTTTTTAAAAAAAATTGCTTATGTTTTGAATGAGAGTGGCCACTATTTTATAATAGGCAAGATAACGCAGAGTTCCCTCAACCTGTTCAAATTGAGGGATCAATAAAAATTTTTTGTATGTAATTTTAAGGTCTTTATTATACTTTTTGATCTTTTAATATTTTTTAAAATTAATTTTTAATTAAATAATTATTAAAATTAATTTTTATTAATGATATAAGTTAGATTGTGTTATTTTTAAAAATTTAAAAAAATAATAAATAAATTTAAAATTTATGGTACTGTTAGATGTAAAATTTAGAGTAATTTATTCATACAATCAAGAAAAAACAAAAAACACACACAATTCAAGGCAAAACTGCATCGCCACTGCCGGCGTTGACCGTTGAATGTCGGTGGGTTTTATCTTCTGCGCAGGGCAATGGTTATAAATGACGTCATGGTTCGAGGACATGCTTTAATATTGAAAAAACATAATCACTAACACCTATAATTTTATTTTTAATTTTTATAATTTTTTCAGTAAAATTAAAAATATTAAAAAAATTAAAATTATGAGAATTTAAAAGACAAACATCATTCAATTTTTTTAAATTATAAGAATTAAAAAATTAGAGGTAATAAAATAAAATTTACTATTAAAGATTATTTTTTTCCTTTAATATTTCACTGCACTTGTGCACTTTCACAAGTTACAACGTCCTTCCTCCCTTTTAAATTAGAAGGTTAAACGCTTCTCCTCTTCAATATATAAACATTTTACTTTAATTAATTTTAATTCAAAATATAAAAAATTTAATTTTTAATTAATTTTGACTTAAAATACAAGTAATTTAATATATAAATTTTTTTTATTTTTACTAATCTAGATATTTGCATGAATGTATCTCACCCATCATAGAGCATGTAATTGAGGCTAAGAGTTAAAAAAA